ATAAATATAAATAAATTTAACAATGTAAAAGTCTTAACTGTTTAGATGATGAATTATGTGATTATAAGAATTATGAAAAAAAGAAAAAAAATCATTGAAACCCCCCCCCCAAACATTTGAATATTCAGCAGAATATTCAGCAGAAAATACTATAGGGCTGGACTTGTTGTTGTCCTTTAAGTTTGGTTTGTGGATGCTGTGATATTATTGATTTGTTTTAATTCCAGGCAGTGTTGATTACATCAGCAGAACAGAAAAAAAATAACTACTTCATACTGTGCAGTATACAATGAATATTTTATTTACTTATTTATTTATAATCCAATTTTGTCTAAACATTACTGAATCCATAGATGCGTTTATAAATGGCATTAATATTTATTTAACTTTTAGGGATCAGACGGTTTACCCGGTCTGGGTGGGGAAAACGGTGATAAAGGAGAGAGAGTGAGTGACGAAAAGTTTATTTGCATGTGGTTGAAGGTGTATTTTGATAGTTACAGTCTAATGTCCAATCATATTGATGAACAGGGTGAACAAGGAGTTGCAGGTGAAGCTGGGTTACCTGGACCTCTCGGACCAAAGGTAAGACCTCCCTTAGACAGAAGAGTAAGGATATGCTTGTTTAGACTAGTGTACATGTAATTGTCAATATTAGCCCCAACCCAGCCCCCTATTGTGTTGTAAATGTTAAACGAATTGTATCCTGACAAGATGAATAAAAATAAGATTTTTACTAACTAAACATTTTTATTTTCTCTTACACTTTTTTTTCCTACTGTGCTGCATAAAATATGAAACAAATTTTGTGTCTTAAGAGCATTCATAAATTCAAGTCAAAGTCAATAAATTCAAGACTCTTGACAAGACGAATAAAAAAACGTAGCCTACAATTTTGTGCAGACTACACTTTTATCTGTTAGCCTATGTCTTTTTTTTCAGTAGAGGAAATGTAAACGTGAGATTCTGGAAACGAGATCTAAATTTAGTGGGAACGGTCAGGTTGGGAAGAAAATTATTCTAAGCGGACAGCGGATGAACAAAGAGTGAATATATAGTGGGAGCGGGTGGGTGCGGAATAGAACCTTGCAGGACCGGGACAAAAAAAAAAAATATTCCCGTGCAGACCTCTAGTAAATAATGCAGTAAACTCTCTATTGTATGTCATTGTAGATTTCATTGTGTTCGCTGTGGGCATTTTCTCGGCATTATTTTCTCTGTTTTATCACTTTTTGGTGAGAAGCTTATTTCTGACACTGCTAGGTGTTCTCATGTCGTTTTTAACATGATCTGGCCTTTTTGACCTTTTTTTATTCAGGGTATCCAAGGCGATGCTGGTCCACCTGGAGCACTGGGTGCTCAAGGGGTGTCTGTAAGTATGACCTGTGTGTTTAAGCCATGTACTGATGATTATGAAAGCCTTCAGAGTATTGCAATAGAAATGTACTTATGACTTTATCAATAATTGCTACTTTATATTTCACAATCACAACTTGATTTCTCTTAAAAGCATCTTAATATCTAACAATTGTGACTTTACTTCTTATTTTACATTATTTTTTTCTCACGATAACCTTATTTGATCATTTTATTATTTTGTATTTTATTGCATTTTTTTATTTATTTAATTACATTTTTTTTTAACTGGCTTCAATAGATGATCCCTTCAGTAGAAACAAATTGAAATGAAGACTGCATCCGCAATTTTGTGTTATACCTGTTCAGGACAGATCGTAGTGTGGCCAGTGTTCTTCTCTGTGAAGTTTGTAATATGTTGAATGTGGTATGTTTTTCATCAGGGTGTCACTGGAGTTAAAGGAGACAAAGGAGCTTCCGGAGAAAGGGTAAGGGATGACTGACACCTGTCAATCATAACCAACTGTTACCACAAACATCATTGCTTAGGCTCAGTGTTAGTATTAAGCATTAAACATTGGAATGCCCCGCACTGTTTGTACTACAGACGTGAATGATTCCTAAAATCATGCAGCAGAGGTTTTGCTTGCACAGCACTCACATCGTCTTGAGAAAATGTATAAATCTAGTTTAGTCTGTCAATGCAGACCACCTTCAGCCCACTAAGAGGCCTGGGACAATGTTCCCGCTTGTCTTCCCCTTGTCAACACCCCTGTTTTAGTTGTGATGCTTTGGAATAACTTGGATGGAGCCCAAAGTACTGTACATACCTGTCAGGTCCAAACACTACAGAGGGAATATTTCTACATAGTGAACGCAGGCAGACTAATAACTCAAACAGATGTCTCAGTGCTGATGCAGACTCCATATATCCTGTTCTGTGGGGGTGTTGTGCAGTCAGATGGGTCTTAGAACAGTGTGACACGGTAGAGCATCGGCATCATTCTTCAGTCTGTCTGACGGTCCACCCCCGCACGCACATAGAGAGCTTTTAAGACAAATTTGACTTTCCTGAAACTTCGAAGTTAAAGATGAAGCAAATTTGCACCGCTAGTGTCACAAAAAGGAACTGCTAAAATAATGATTGATTTGGTTCATGTCACTCCTCGTCTGTCATTGGTTGGCAAACAGACAGTTCCGCCCCAAACTGACGCCATTGGTTGAGCCGATGTTGCCGTATTTGGCTGGTTGGGAAGCTCAAACAAACTATATTTTAGAACTATCTACAGCTATTTTATAATGTAAAATGTTTTAACATGGGGACAATAAGCTTAGTTTTGGCAAAAAAATCATTACTTTTAAGTAAGAATGCTGGTAATTCAGTGCAAGTGGAGCAAATGGATATATTTTAGAACCAATGCATGGTTCATTGAAACAGGAAATATCAGATTATGCTTTTTTTGAGAATGGCTTTTCATTTGAACTCAAATGGCCTTGAATTCAAAATAAATACATCATATAAACGCATCCACCATCTGTTATATTTCCTGAATTTCTGACCTGAAAAAGCAGGCACTGCATAGTGGACATTGCACATTTTTTTTCATGTTACAATCACATTTCCATCCCGTCAGTCTGTTTCCTGTATTAAAATCAAAGCACCTGTCTAGACAAGCATACATAATTTAAAGTTAAAGGAGTAGTTCACCCAAAAAATGAAGATGTCATTTCAAACCTGTATGCTGTTTATGAGACATAAAATTAAAATCTGGGAATAAAAATAGGGACTTTGGATGTGACATACTATTGTAATCAGAATTAACTGTGCTCATAAATACAGAACACTATATGTATAGAGCAAATTGCATATGTGTTATACTATAATATTCATTTATCAAGATGACTTTCATGAAATTATCATTGCAAAATTGGAAGCAGAATACATTTATTAAATATTATTAAATAATACAATTAAATATTGCATATACAGTCCTTTTCAAAAGTTTGGGGACAGTAAG